GCCCAGCTCCAGAGGTAGAGCTGAAACGGAAGAGCTGATTACAAATGTCCCCTGTCTTCTTGCGGTTCCTGTCCTCCTGCCTGTAATTAATGACTCATCTTTCCCTGCCGGGATGTGCTCAGTGGAAGTCATCACAAAGAGGAAGAATTTGGAAACGGTTTCAGGATACCCACCGCTAAGCTAGTGTGGACAAGGCAAGCATGCTTTTCCTCCACCTATCCTTCCACCCTCCAAAGCTCAGGAGAAAGAAGCAGGTGGAAGAGGGAAGAGCGCGGGGACGAAGCAAAGGCATTAGAAGGAAGCTGGCAGCACGTGCCCTTCCTGAAGACGGTGACCCGTGAAGGGCCAGTACTCGCTCGGGGTGGAGAGGAAGGAAACCGCCGCTCATCTGAGTTGTTCATTGGATGTCATTTTGCACCACGCACAGCGTGAGAACGCCAAAACACTCCTAAACCTCTTCGTGCTCAGATATGGACATGCATAGATGGCTGTTGGCTGGAGTGAGAAAATTCAGGCTCTGAACGACAGCAAGTAACGTATGGGAACAATATTCCGAGACAGGTGTAAACGGAGGCTGCTGCGGGACCAGGACCAGAGAATGTCCTCACTCTGATTCTGTCTAGCAAGAAGGCAAGATAAAAGCCATCTCGTCCTCGTATTGTAAACTTAGGTGTTTAAATGACAATCTTCATGGTACTGGTCTCCCTAAACCAGCCTTTCTGTCATCCCAGATGTTACGGTGACTTCTCCGTGCCGCTCAGGACTTCCTGCCTCTGTTTGATTGCACTTCTTCTGTGTGGTTATTGCTCCGGAAGAAGAGTCTTATTTATTCAGGGTGATTCTAGTGCGAAGATAACTGATCTGGGAACCTCCATTGTCTTTTCTTTCTTTTCAAACTACTTTGAAAAAGCAGTTCTGATGCTCTAAGTGTTTAATGAATTGAGATTCACCCGTTCGTTCACTCACTCACTCATTCGTTTTTAAAGTGTGCTTTAAAGAGACAAAGGTGCTGAAGCCAGGATTGGCGGTGCTGTCATCATGCTGCTCCAGGAAGCTGAAACAGGGGTTATCACTGTGGGTTCAAAGCCAGCCTAGGCTACAAACTAGCCAGGGCTACACGGCAAGAACCTGTTTCAGGGTGGGGAGAGGGAAGAATGAAGGAGTGAAGAGAGAAGGAAAAGAGAGAGGGGGAGAGAGGGAGGAGAGGGTCTTTGGATGAGGCACAGGACTACTTAAAGGAGAACGCTCATTGTCACCACACAGCTCAAGGCCTCCTCTCTCATAAGGAGTGACGGTTTGGGTGAGAGGCAGCCAGTTCAGAGCCTCTGCTTAAGTTCTGAGGTAAAAATTTTCTCTAAAATTTCAGCGTGAAATCCAGGAAGGAACCCTGTACATCGTGTCTGTACCCCCATCGGCCCTGGTACTCCGAGACATTACAAAGCTCACCAGCAAACTCCTGTAATTAGCACCATCAGCCAGGGGCACATAAAATAGCCCTTTTCTGAATAGAATTTTGCGTGGGGGGGGGG